TGCATCCACTGGACACTCTCGACTGACCTACCCTTGCTTTCCCAACGTGTGGCGATTCGATCGAAGCTGAAAGTAATTCTAGCTCTCCTCTAGCCCATTACTCCGTAATCGACATCGGTCTCTACCCTTGCCCTCTCCTACCTTGCTCTGCCCGGTCTTGCATAGCCCTTCTCTCTTGTTACCTGACCTGACCCGACCTGACCTGGCTTGACCTGACTTGACCTGACCTGACTTGACCTGACCTGTCCGGTCCGGTTTCTATCCCAACTCAGCTCCCGTGCTTCGATTTAGCCTTATGCCCCCACCCCTACCCCCACCTGCTCGATTAAGGAAGATTTAGCCATTGCAAATGTACCTTAGGGACGGACGTCTGGTCGGCTGGCCCGACTGGGGACACAGAGCTGTGGACACGTCGCCTCGACTGTAAGGCCATCGGTGCAAGTCACGTTGCCCTTACAAATGTTTGTCAAGTTTCCAAGACCGATGATACCTGTAGACAATATCGAGTCTGGATAATGTCAATGCTTTTTCTGTGTATATATGTGCCTGTGGTAATATTGATGGTCAATGAGCTGGGGGTATATCTGGGTGCCTTGACTTCGACACACCGCTTAGCTCGGCAACCTCTTCTGGTCTCTGAATGGCCACTTATGTGTATCTGTCTCTTCTCTACGCCTTGCTACCATCATCTCGTTGACCTGGAATGTGCATGATTAGCTCAGGCCAGGTCACTCCTCTCAGCCGAATCGATCTCCCATTTCGCTCCATTCTGGACTGACAACATATCATCAACTTTTGACGCTCCTAACTACACGATTTTACTTATCCTGTTTTGTATGTGTTTATGTGTGCACACAACTGTACGTGCGTTTTTGGCTAACAGAGGAGGGTGTGTCATATGAGCCATATTATCCTGTGCACAACTTGCCAGATCGTCACGCATACACTCGACGAATTAGGACAGGCAGACTTCGCGTTTTATCGCTGATGCCGGAGATCCGATGCGGTGGTCCATTTCCACATCAACGGACAGAGCAAGTCGGCAAATCCTCCCCTCCACGCGCATGCACACTCACTTAAACACACTCATGCATCCGCATGCATGCATGCATACATTTGGGTACTTACACAAGGTGGTGGCATACTGCTCTTTGGGTAGAGCATAACCTTGGTAGAACGAGTTCCGGCACGTCCGTCTCACTCAAAGCACTCTCCCGATAGAACTGAAAGTGGGCCACGTGTGTGAGAGCTAGTCTGAATGCAAGAGCTAAAGTATACTCTTCAGACTGTGCACGCGCCACCTTCACGCAACTGTTTAGACCGTTGGCACGCCCCCACTGGCACATTGACGGGGGGTTAGTTGCACCAACTCAGTATCGAGTTGAGCACTAACTCTGTATCGAATTGAGCACCAACCGACCACATGTTCTACAGACGTGCGTTGTGGGGATGACTGCCATACAATAAAACAGGTGCTCATGGCGTAACGAGCTTCTTATTCTCTTTCAAACCCGATTTTAATATTCTCTTCCTCTCTCTCGTCCTATTCCGACCTAAAACTGTTTAGCCTCTATACTCTACATGTGTCTATTAAGCACCGCCACCACACTTACCTCAAGCCTTCACACGTACACATATACGATGAGGCAGCCATACACACGGACTTGCAGACAGGGATTCTGCTGCTTTGGATTCGGCTTCTATTCCGCAGTGCGTGTGCTTATATGTTTGCATGTGTCTTTATGGGCATCATATGCATTTTTTGCTTCATAACACTCACACTTTCTAATTCTGGTCTAGCCGAGAATTTGATCGTAGATATGGCGACCAACATGGTGCGGCCTTGTGTCAGGTCTTGTCACTTTAGGAATTGTTAGATTATTGGGAATGCTTCGGGTATTTGTCTAGCCCTGTTGCCACTACGGCTTGCCGACCCGCTTAGCCCTCGTTAGTCCATATGGCCTGGGTGACCTTATTCTGAACTTGATTGTTGAATGCCTTAATGATTAACTACATTGTTAAACCAATGCGGACTATCGGATGAGATAATTTCTCTAAGTGATTAGCTAATGTGTTAAGTTAGTTAATATCTTATGCATTTCTCATTTCTATAAGCACCATTTATTAATCAATGTCGACTCTTCACTTCTTGGCCCAGTTTTCTCCGAGAGTCTGGGTATTGTATACGTCTATATGCCTAGGCTGCATTTACGTATGATAATTATATATAATTAATATTCTGACTGCGTAGATCTTGAAACTAGATAGTAGTAGATCTTCTCCAAGAGCTATATCATTCAAAACGACTAATTTCTCAGGTTCCTAAAAGAGAATGGATAAATTAGTCTCGCTTTTTCTTTTATTTGCACTGCCTTTCTTGCCCCAAATGTCTTATTTTGCGTCAATTGCAGCATCTTGACTTGTCGCGAAGGCACCCATTTATTGTTAACCGATTGAGGCTGGCCTCGGAATGGAGGACGCTGGATTGCGCGAATAAGTCCTCGGTTCAACGTCGTGCGACTCCGATGAATCCTTAATGAGTTTCCGTTTGTCATGTGACACAGTCAGATCTAGCAACTATCATTTACGAAAAGACACTATATACACTAAGCCAATTAAAGAGTTGCTGGGTGTAATCATATTCATTTCTTATGCCCAACTTTGTGATCAAAACGATGCCTCGATGCCTGCAGATGGAAGTTGATGCATGAAAAGGAACTATGGTCTCAGCTGTTTCCCTGCTTATATAAACTAGCGTTTGATCCCGTAATTTTTTACCAATGTCTTATTATGTTTTTTGTGTGCACTGTATGTATGCAATGCCCAAGTAATGTGGGGGTGTATGAGCCCTAACTAGACTCAGAGCTATTTAAACCTAATCCTTCTACTCTGCGGTTCTTCCTATTCCCTCCCCTTTCTTTTCTTAAGAAGATCTAATGGCCACAAATAGTTCCCACTCTATTTCATACCCTCATCCTTTCTATTCAGGGTGTTTACTGTTTTTTTATTCATAGAAAATACTTAATATTACGCTTAGATGTCTAGTCCATATTTCCTCCAAAACTATGTTTTGGACCATTTTTTTCGTATCCTGAATTAGCCATGTGTTTGGCCAATTCAAATTTTTGAAACCATACCACATAGCAAGCTGCTTTGTGTCCAGATAACCTCTTTTGGATGGGTCGGCAGGTCTCTCTCACATACACTATCACATGTGCACAACATATTGTAGCATCCGATTATTCCCAAAAGAAAGCACAATCGAGGAAAGTTGTACTCTTTATTTTTACATTGTTCGGATTTTCCACGAATTTCTAATTAAGCTATGCAATTATTAACTAAAATTGGAGCTAAACATGAAACATTACCTACTCCTGGTGTTTGATTATACAAATTACTTAGGTGAGATCAAAACTACATTCCAGCCTGGATAGGTATACCCTTTGGCAGTGATTCCCAAACTGTGCGCCTCGGCGCCCCGGAGAGCCGCGAAATATTGTAAAAGCCTTAATTTGAGAAATGTGCAGTAATTTGCAGGCTCATCCATTACATTATTTATTTAATATTAATATAGTAAAAAAAAAATAATGAAGATACACGAATAGGAAAAGTTTGGGAACCACTGCCCTTTGGGATGTAAAGCCGAGTGAAGTTTACATTTGATCTGGCCTAGTTTTCCTTACTTGGTCGTGTTATTAGGGCCACTCAGTTGGATGCACTTTATTTGAAGTGCTCTGCTATTGTACTTATGATAGGTCTCAGTGTTTGTCCGTGGACTTGGTACATTCGCAGACATTTCGCCAGCATCATAGTCGCCATCGTCAGTCGGTCTTGCCACTCTCAGCGTCAAACTCTACTTGCGAAAGAGACAAGTGAAGTCAATCCCTTGGCCTATTTTCTTTTTGAACGGTTGTACTGTCATTCATCTTTCCATCCTAGCACATCTACTTACTCCCTACCCTCTTATCTCTCTCTCATCCTGTCGCAATTTTTAATTTGTTTATATTCTACTCCATAAGGTGTGCCCTCTTCGGCCAGTTTATTAGGGCATCATCGAACCTGCTATTTACTTTGCCCCCCCTCCCTACCTCTATTTATTGATCCGACCTGGGCCTCATCTTGATTTCCTTCATGGGGCCTGTAGATCCGTTTCTCATCTGATTTCACTCTGTCCTAGTGCAAGCATAAATTTAATTCAGACACTACTTCTCAAGCCTTCTGCCAGGACGGGAGGGAGTTAAGAGGGTAGGGAGTTAGTCGTTCCAGGACAAAAAAATGAGGGATAGTGCAACCATTCGATATAAATAGGTAAAGAAATTGACTTCAATTTTCTCTGGCGCGTTGTAGCTTAGCGCCTAGACTGACAAAGCGCACCGAAGACGCCGGCAAAGCGTTTTAGACGGTTCCAAGTTCACAATCAAACAGTGTGAATTATCTTAACTACCTCAGCTGAGGGCTTCGGAGAAGGTTCGTTCACTTAAGTCGCCCTGACAACACGACCAAGTCGTGAAAATGAGGTTAGACTACATATATGC